CCAGTGTCTGATGGGGCCACTAAGGGCGGGGGAGGCATGGGACGGTGTGCTGAGCTCGTGTGATGTCCAGTGTCTGATGGGGCCACTAAGGGCGGTGCCTGTGGCTCAAAGGAGTAGGGTGCCAGCCCCATATGCCGGTGGTGGCAGGTTCAAACCTAGCCCAGCCACCCCCCCAAAAAAAGTGATGGGGCCACTAGTTATAGGTCCATGTTTAAGGTCTGAGGTCTCTTTTTTGGCTACAATTTGGAGAAACTGGCTAAAATGAGCGCAGTTGTGGAAATGTGGCCCTGAATGTTAATGCCCCTCTGAAAACACCTTGGGAAAGGGGTGGGTCTTGGATTACACATCCATCTGGTAATTGGTTTCAAAGAGATCTCCGGACCCTGAGCAGGAACATTTCAGCACACATTGTCACTCTGGGCAGATGGCTTTGTCACTGCCCTCTTGAAGGGAACTTTATGAGGAGGAGAGAAACTGTTTCTCTGAAGGGTCTTGAATTTGGCAGGAAAGAATCTGAACTTGGAAGCTGATGGTCCATGGGAGCCGCAGAGCCACAGAGGGGCCACAGGCCACTTTTCCTGGCCTGGGTCCCTGACTGGCTCGGCGGCCCTGCTATGGCACATCTCGCTACTCTAATTGGCAAGTTGCTCTTCGAGACTCCCAATTCTCACCTACCCGGTGCACACAAAGGCTGCCATTCTTTGTGGGACCTGGCCTTCTAACCAAAATGTAATAGCTCAGCACTGCTGGCCAAGTTCGTGCAAATAAAATGTCAGTAGTTTATAATAAAGTATCTAGCACAGGGAGGAATTACAACAATTAAATCAAATTGATAGTGTACTTAGACAAACCACTGAAATAAGAATACTTTTCTCTCCACGCCAGGCACAAAAGCTTTGTTTTCACTGGGATTACTGTTTTCAGGATAGTGGGATAACTTAGATCCTGCTAGGGAGCCTCTTTGTTAATATGGAAGTGAAAGTAAGGAGAAGGAGACGTCCCATTAAAGACCCGATTCAGAGCATTCTAACTGGGGTTTTTAAAGGACCGCTGGGTTTGAGACTTGCTATTTCATAAGTGCAAAGGTGCATATGCGTTGTGCCAGATGCAGCCCCTTTTCAATTTAGTGGGAAAATTCAGCCAAATTCCCCACCTTCTAGTCCCCAAACCCAAAGCCACTTTTACAGAGCCTTGCAAACTTATTAGAATAATAGATCTCAAAGCAGCATTAGCAGGGAATGTTGCCTCATCCTCTTACTAAGGAGGAAACTGAGGCTTGGGCAGGACACAAGAGCCAGGTGGCACTGCTACCTGACTCACAGACTCCCCTCATTGGCTGGCCCGAGTCATAGTCTCCCCTCATTGGCTGGCCCGAGTCATAGTCTCCCCTCATTGGCTGGACAGCTTCACCAATTGGGTTTTCATTCTGCTCTACAGGCTGTGCCCTGGGTGGGCTCTGGCCCTGACTCACCCATAGAATCAAGGATCGGAGCCAGAGGGGTTTTTTTGCATGTTTGTTTTAAATTATACTTTTTAATTACACTTTCATGTTAAAAATTTAAACAATGGAGATAAATCTAAAGCTCCCTTGTGACCAACTGTCCCCCCCACCCCACAGCCCAGTCTTCCAGCCCTAGTGCTGTCTCCTAGGACATCCGCCAGTATGTCTCCTGCGTATCCTTCCAGGCCTTTCTCTGCCTTCGGGCAGACTTTAATTTGTGTATACAATTAGGTGATTTCTAACCACAAATGGATCACGCTGCACATTATCTTTTGGCAGCTTTTTTCACTTTGTGAGCCCTTTTGTTGTCAAAAGATACATTTTTCTCACTCATTTTGATGATCTGCAGAGTGGTCCATTATAGGGCTGGACTGTGATTTATTTGGGAAGGTCTTTTAAGGAAATATTGAATCAGAAGCTGCAGAGTTTTTACTTTAAACTCCCCAGACGACTCAGTTGTCAGTAGCAGGAAGTTAGGTTTATTTGGATCTGAAGGAATTTCCACTGCTGTGTTCTGGGACATGTTCACTTTTACTGCTCTCTTGATGAATTTCTTTCTAAAATTACTCCTGAATGTGGCAACTATGTGCTCATTTATTTGTGCATTAATTTAATCGGTGTTGTTGCCCCCAGTGTGTCAGGCGCTGTGCTAGGCACCAGCATTTCATGGCCCTCACGAGTAGCTTTATGTTACGTGATTGAGTGACAGTGTTGTCTGGTGCAAGTCAAACCATGGTTCAAATCCAGCTCATCATTAGCCGGCTGAGGGAATTTGTGTAAGTGTCCTGATCCCACTGGAGCTCGGATTCCTCATTTACGTAACCGTGGGACACTATAGTCTTCTTCCAACTGTTGAGTGGATTAAATAAAAGAATTCATGTCAAGCTATTCAAGCCTAGTGCCCACTAACTAAGATGCCGCCTGCTTTTATTGTCCTCGTTATTTTTTTACATTGTCCCTGTTATTTTAATAGTGGAACATCATAAATAGATTTTGCCTGGCTTCCAAACATGAGAGAAAATGAAAAAGAGATGTTTTAGGGGCATGCCATCTGTGTAGCAGTGCAAATGGTCAAGTTTCAGTGCCCCCACTGTGTCAGTGGGCTCCAGCAGACCTGTGGCTGGCATTGGGTGTATCAACAGTTTCTGTTAGGGAGCAGGAAAGGAGTACCCAGTGGAAGGATCCCTTAGGCCAGGCGTCCTCAAACTACGGCCCGCGGGCCACATGCAGCCCACCTAGGACATTTATCCAGCCTGCCGGGTGTTTTTGCCACCGCTGCCTGTACTGCTTAGCAGCCGAATCATCCTGGGGCCCGTAGTCTGGCCCTCCAACGGTCTGAGGGACAGTGAACTGGTCCCCTGTTTAAAAAGTTTCAGGACCCCTGCTAGGCCCTGCTTGTATCTTGGAAGCTTCTAACTTTACATCAGGACAAGAACATAATATTTACACCTGGGATGGAATTGGAAACACTTACTTAGAAATGTGATAGGTTAAGTGGAAAAAAAATACACATTCATTTCTGTGTTTTATTCCGGTGTTATAATCCTTGCTACTATTTCCTGTGTTTTATTCCAGTGTTATAATCCTTGCTACTTCCTGTGTTTTATTCCAGTGTTATAATC